TTATCTCAAATTACCACAAAGATCTTTTTAAACGAACATTTTACATTACATCCAAATTGAAAACACTATTTTCAACGATTCACTATCACATTTAGAAAATTTCAATTACACAAAACGTATAAAAATACTGTACTTTACTGCTCTCCGATATCCACTCATGACCCTACAATCTCGACCATCTTAAACCATTATGGTGGAAATCTTGGAGCTCATTGTCAGATCCACATTCCGCCCCCTAAACGTGCATCCACTCTTGAAACGACCAAGACCCTCTCATTCTCTCGCCCGTTGAATAGACATTCTGTCGCGGACGTATATAGTCGAAATTACTACTTTCAGTAGTATAAACAACGTTGCGGCGCGTCGCAACGTTGCAACGTTGTGTTGCTGCGCCGTGGAGAGGAGAAATGCGAGGAAAAGAAGAACGGAGCGAGGAGGGAGAGGGAAAAGGAGGGAGAGGGGGGAAGGAGAAAAAAGTAGCTGGTTAAAGTTTCTCGAGATAAACGATGGCCGTAAGCGAGGAGGATATTACGCGCGAAAAGACAGTCGGGTGTTGAACGACCTAGAAATGGTTCACCATCTGCGTCAACGCGGAGAATAACCGTTTAAACGAGATAGTAGGCGGCCACTTTAAGGCTGGCTGTAAAAAAACAGATCGACCAACGCGTCTTCCAACACGGGTCACGGAGTGGTGGCAAAGCGTTATTTTAGAATTAAGGGCAACTGTCGATGCAGGCAATCGTATATACGCAAGGCTGGGTGCACAGCCGGAAAAACAAAATTTTTCGGTCGGTAAGAGAGTGTTTCTCGAGAGTGTTTTCGTTAGCGTGAGTGTAACGTAACAGGAAATGGTTTAATGGGATTTCTTGGTGTGGGTGTGGATGATTCGTGATCGTTTTTGGAGGAAAGCGCGAAGATGTGGAGAAGTTTGAGAGTTCTTGAGAGATGAATAATACAAATTCGATGCGATTTGATCAAATATCGAAGAGAGTTTCTTCGGTTCACGGATGAATGAATTTTTGATTTAAATGTTATAATGAAATCGGAAATGATTATCCATATTATGTCAATTGTAATACTTGTATTGAAAAAAAAAAAAAAAAGGAAGATAAAAGTGAAAAATAATCTTTTTCATCTTTTCACGTTGCTCGCATTGAATGTGTTAATAATCTTATAGATATAGATATAATAAATTAATGATTGTTTGATTTGAAAGTGGGATATTGATTTTGGAAAAAAGATATGAGTTCTTCTCGAGGAATATGATTTGAATAATACGTTCAATGCGGCAAAATTGAATCGATTTTCGATAAGGTACATGGATTTTTGATTGTGCCCAAGAAATAATGATAAGATGGTGAAAAATATAATGAATATAATATATAGCAATGACAATATTTGTATTGAATGCAAATGCAAAAGGAAAGTTGGATATTTAGAAAATATTTTATTTTTATATTTTCTGCATTGAATGTATTAATAAGATTTCTTGGTGTATACGTGGATGACTATGATTGGATTGTTAGTTTTGCAGAATAGATAGAAATGGAAGAAATAGAAAGAGAAGTTTTTGAAGGATCTGATATGATTAAGCATTTTCTCTGGCAATGATTTTAAGGAAAACGATTTAAAAGGAAGATTTTTTTAATATTTTTTTGTGATATTGATAATTTAACGATAAATATTCTTTTATCGATTCAATAATATTGTTATAAATATAATGAAGTAATAAAATAACGAAGAGTAGGATTTATTATTGTATGAAAATAATTTATTGGAAATAAAATGTTGATTAAATTGATATTGAAGGATAGTGTGGTAATGTGGAGAAAGATAACTTGAATTATCTGGGATTGGATATTAGTTATTTTCTATGATTGCCAATCATTGGTTGAAAATTGGAAGAGACTTTTTCGTATTATCTGTACCGTCGATGGCCTACGATAGATATTGCTTCAAATCCCTTGCGACAAATAACATTTCTGGAATATCATGCGATTCCTATGCTAACATTTCGGTTTTTTGAAATTTTATCAAAGTTCTTCTCTGCCGAATATGCAAATTGTTTCGATATATTCTAATTGAGATATAAATTTAGATATAAAATTTGTAAATTTCACGTTACTTCGAGAATAATGTATTAATTGAATATTTTAATTGCGGTATTTCATATCGTAGAAATGAATAAAACCAACTTGTACACGATATTGTTACAATGAAGCACACTATGTCAACGATATCTTGTAGAATGAAAATTTTAATAAAGTTTCAAGACTAAATCTCTTTTAACAAGTTTCTAAAGTGCGTTGTATGTATGGTGATGTACATTTTGAAAATGTTAGATACTATCTTTATCAACTTTCACAAGATTACTGAAATTATTTTTAATATGAATTTAAATTTTGAATATTTATATTTAAATATTACAAACTTATATTTAATAAAATACTAAATAATTGTAACAAAATAATATTTATAGAATAAAATATTATTTAAATGACAATATTATCTTTTTTGCAAACAAACAAATTGTGATACATGGTAGTAATTCAAACGAACTTTTCCGCGTGAATTCATTGCTTCTTGAACAAGACAGTCAGTAAAATTAAATTAACAATTGTTCGCAATACGGGCAAAAAACAATTTCACAAGGTTTTTGTTCGAGGATTTTCTTTATGGTACGAGCTCCATCTCGTTATCAGAAGTTAACGAGTCGGAATCTTAAAGACATCACGATAAAATGTTGAAACGAATGCAAAAAATGCTTTGATCCGCTTTTTATATCTTTTATATTGTGATTTGAATATCAATCAGATTTTACATTTAAATCGAATATCATTTGTGATTGAAATATGATTAATATGAAATATAGTTAATATGAAATTATTTGAAAGATTAGATTTAAAATCACAAAAATTGATAAAGTAACCTCGAATGCATAGATATGTATAAATGTATATATTATATGTCATCATACTTCACAGTAAATACACAAGGTTTCAACCTTCAACTTATTGACATATTCTCAAGGTCATTTTTGATATACAAAAAAACTAAAGACTCGATTTTATAAAATACAAAATAATCATGTTAGAATCGTGTTTTTTCCCCTTGAATTTGTGCATTTTTTACACGAACATTTTTTTTAATCAAATTAAAAAGTTGATCCCTTTTCTTATATCCTATAAATAATATATCTATAAAATTCTAAACTGCATACAAATATTATGTATATATCTATATAATACATCAAATACTAATAGTAATTTCTCAAATACTTCTTAATTAAAAAAAAATTTTTAAAAGACACCAAAATGTTCAAAAGTATTCATTTAATCAATTATTCAACAAATACTAATATAATAATATATAATCGCCATTATATTGGCCGCCATTAATTTTTATTTACGCTTAATTTAATTTCGCTATGTATAAAATAAATTAGTGAGGAAATCAATTACTAAAAAAAAAAAAGTAATAAAATAAAATTAATATCATACCTTCGAAACGAAGTATACGTAGAACTTGTTGATTCTTTTCTGGAAGTAAATTTCGATGATTCTTTCTCGACAGTATTCTTCAAAAGATTTATCACCACTATATTTAATATGAATACCGAACAATTTCAAGATACATTTTGCAAAATCGATGAAACGATAAAATCGTCTTTGACCCTTTCAGTGTCGGCAAACAATTTCCACTGAAACTATCAGTCGCCGGCAAAATTTGAAAATTGCCGATCTTGATTGACTAACTATTCCCGTCAGTTATGAAACGCAATCTGCCAATCAGTTTCTCCCGCGTCCCTCCTTATACACTAATACGAGTTATCCACAAGTAATACCGGGCTACGTTACATTTCCAGGAACTTCTACGACCTTTAAGCTTTATTTAGAACTTTTAGTGTCTGGAGAATTCATTGCACAAATCTCTACATACGTTTCGATCATGAAATCGTTCAAAAAACCAAATACTCAAACACGACACGCATACCGCGTAGATAATCGTATTTTGACTGGTATACTTTCAAATTTTCTGATGTATCGTCGATAGTGGCGCCCTTCGATACGATAACGATCTTCGGTATCGTATTATTCTCGACTGTCGAACTATTCAATTATGCAACAGATTTTAAAATGTGTTTTGAGTCATCACGCTGTCTTTCTCTTCACTTTAAAATTATTTTACTTCTTTCTTGAAAATTATTCACAAATTTGAAAAAAATATATATTTTTTCTTTTTCTAAAAACTTTAAAATACTAAGATATTACGATAGTAATGGTGTTTCATATACTATTTACGTATAATCTGCATTGTCTGGAGTAGCTTCCAACGAAAGACTTATCTTTGCCAAATATTAACATTGTCAACAATCTTTGCTTTATTTTGAGATAGGGTCGAATCAAAAAAACAATGTTTTTCAGATAACCTTAATTATATTGCAATATTAAAACTGTAATTAACAGAAAATTATTTAAAATTATTAATTTGATAATTAAAATGTTGTTGTTAAAATCAAAATATTTGCAAATATCATTGTAATATTTAAAACATAACTTATTATAAAATAACTTCTTTTAATAAATCTTTTTTAAATAATTATTTGTAAGTAAATGAAATTTATAAATAAAATTTACACAAAAAGATTTGAAAAATGGATAATTTGTTATATTTTTAAAATTACTATACAAAAACAGAAATTGGAGTATTACATTCAATATGCTTAAAAATACATAATTAAGCAGAAAAAAAATTATAAATATGTTATTTAAGATCTTATATACGCATTATCTACAAAGATAATAACTTTTTTTTATCTAACAAAAAATGACACACAATGACACTTTTTTTTTCTTATTATTACAGAATCATGATGATATTTTATTTTATATTCATAAAATATATTTATAAATAAAAAATTAATTTCATTGGTATTTCTTCGATTTAATTTTACATATTCTTTGTTTTTTAAACTAAGTAAATTATGTTAACTAAATATTTTATTGAATATTCTCAGCATTTTTTTTGTTTTATAATAACTATTAAACTTATCTATATGCACATAAGGCACACAAATTGTTATATTATTAATTATTATATTATTAATGTTATATTATATTTAGTGAGAATAGACATATTAATTTTTCTAAGTATGAAAATGTTTAATAACAAAATTTTAATTTTATTACACATATCTGATAAATATTTACTTTACATACTACACAAGAATAACGTATTTTCTATCAGAAGAAACTTACTATAAAAATATAAGATGCAAAATTACTATAATACATATAATATACTCTAATATGTGTTAAATAATTTTTAATCTATTTAAATATAGTCCTCTTCAAGTTCAATACTTCTGTACATTATTAACAGAATTACCTCTCTGAGGATAAGTACAAACTAACAAAATTTCTTTAATATATACGTTCTGTACTCAGAACATGTTATCATTGTGTCAATCAAATTATAACACAATAATTGCTCATTCTGAATCAAACAAATATTTTTTCCTATTTAATAAATATTCGTTGCTGAAACATGTTGCATTTCAATATTTCTTTTCATAATTTGTTTATAAATTTTTGCAATAAACAAAAAATTAAAATATCCACTATCATGGTTTGTGCACATCATCTTGTATTTCATTTTCAACTTCGTCGTTACATATGTACATTGAATCCGAAGTATTTGTACCTAAAACAAAATATATTTATAAATGTGTGTCAACAATATGTAATTCTTTTCTCCTTTAAGACTGACAATATCATATTTTTAACATCATTTAAATTTATCTGAAAATATATTTTTTCTTTTAAAGTTTATTTATAATAAATTTGACATAAACACATATTGTAAAGCAAATACAATCAGTAATTTTAATAAAAAATTTAATTAATATATTATTATGCAAAAAGTAAATTTGATGAAACATATAATGCCAGAAAATTTTAAATATTGATATATCTTGAGAATTAAAACTAATGTATGAAAATTGATATGTCTCAATTTTTTTTTTAAATATTCATTGTGATTTTTATATTTATTTCAAATTCTTTTCTTTAGAATCTGAAACATTTGATATAATTATTAACATAATATTCATTCAATTAATATTTGTCTTATTTTTCTTCTAACAGATAAATATATAAATTGTTACAAAATTTATTATAAAATTTATATTGAAATGTAAATGAGAAATGATATTATGATCTAACAACAACAAAAATACTACTACATGTTAGTGTTCTTTGTTACATATTCTAAATAGATACTATTGTCAATAGCACCTTACATGCAATTATTTATCATGCAAAAGAAACAAGACATATTTATATATATATTGTATTTATGCAATATATTGTGTAGAAAATTTTTTTTTAGTAGGCAAGCTTCATCAGTTTTTATAATATATAAATTATAATGTTAAATTTCAAATATTGCAATAATTAATAAAATACAAGTATTACCATTGAAATTCCTAAGTAGCATTGAAATTGAATTAAAAAATGAATAATACTTAAGATAAAAACATAAGAATGAATAATCACATATGGAATCCTTATCAAAATAAGACTGAATAAAACTAAATAAAATCGTGGAATATAAGAAAATTATGGCAAAAGTCAAGAAGAAATAAAAAAAAATATATATTCGATAATCAATTTAAATTATTAATTGTAATTTATAACATTTATTAAATTTATTTATTTTATCAATTATCTAAATTAAGATAAAATTAAATTGGAAGTGATTAATTTTGAAATAAAATTCAATTAAAATATCCAAAAAAATAATTACTTTTAATTTTACTAATTAATAAAAAAAATTTATAATTCATTTTATATTTATATAAAATTATTCTTTTATTAAAATGAAGAAAAATTGTATATATTAAATATAATAAATAAAAATTGTTACAATTTCTATTTTTTATTTTAAATATTGTAATAATTTTCAGATATAAACTGATTATCGTATGAAATAAAAAAAAGATTTGAAATCATTAAAATAAATTATGTACCAGATTTACAGCACACTATCAGGAAAGGCCCAGTGATGTGATTTATAAACACGTTGATTCAGCTTGCCCATTATTCTTAGAATCTAGATACTTCTCTGCAAGAAAGATGTATGCATATTACATAAAATAAACTTCATATTGATTTCATATTAAACCATGTGGAATACTGTAAGTTGAATATATATATATATATATATATATATAATAAATTGAATCCATAGGAAATGTCAAACAATGAAAACATAAAATACATACAAGAACAAAATATTATAAAGTATGAAATTTATGAACTAAAACATAAAGTATTAAATCAAAAATTATTTTAAAATATATTTTTATAAACAATTTTTCTATGTTTGCCTATACTACATTAACAATATTTTTTAACACATTAAGTCCCGTAATATTAATGATTAAATGGAAAAATAAACTAAAGAGGAAAATGTGCTTTTTATTAGTAATTTAACAAAGCTGTCACCTTTCAAAAAATTATATTAGATAAATAATATTTCATAAAAATATAAAATTGAACTGTAATGATAAATAAATTATTTAAGTTTAAAAATTTGCATGCTTTCAAAGAAATTATACTTAAAAAACTGTCAACTTTAACAAGTTAAGCGCCTTTGGTTTCCAAAAAAATAATTGTTTTAGAACAAAGGGACAACTTTGTATCATTCTCCTTCATATTTTATAAATCATATATTTTATTTTTGGAAATATTAAATGAATAAAATTTTTCTACACATTTTTAATTTCAAACATATAACAAGTTTTATAATTATATTTATTAAACAATTTCGAGCGCTTAACGTGTTAAAAAAAATTAAATTGTAACATTTCCTTACTTTTCGCCTCTGTCCATTTAACGCCAAACTTGCAAATAATTCATGCACTGTGCAAAAATAATTATATTATAATCATATATAAATTATTATTTTATTTATATATTTATTTGAAATATAAAAAATTAATACAACTTTATTAGTGACAGCTCTTAATAGAGACAAATTAAATGCAACGTTTTCCTCTGTAGAATATAAATAATAAATGATTAAATAATAAAAAATATGTCTTTAATCTTATGATTTGGTAATAAAAAATTATTAATGTGATTCATCAATAACACGTATATCTTGCAACTAATATATTATAAGTAATAATATGTTATTTTTTAGTTAAAATCTCCGCATTATTCTTGCGAAAAGAGTTTCCAATACAAAGCAATGAAAAACTTTTTAAAAGAATTATAAAACTTGTACTAACTTGTGTGTGTACATACATATACATCAAACATTAAGCTGATTAGTAAGTTTTCATACAAACATGCAAATAAGATGCTAAGACAAAGTTTCTTTTCTTTTTACATACTTGAATCCTACTTCACTTACCTGCAATTACAAGATCAACTAATGCTTTATCCTTTTGTATATACAAAGCTGTAATGAAGAAAAATAAACTGCCAAGCACTGCTACAAACATTGTAAGAAACAATGCATATTGCAAGCTACGAAATTCGAGAAGTATATCGTCCTGATTTATTATATTTATCATTCCAGCATCAATGTATTTTATATATAGTTCTGAAAGAAGAACTGTTTTCAGTCCTTCTGATAACTGCAAACAATCAATAAAAATATGAAATTTATTAATAATAATAAAAGATAATATATAAAATAGAACAAAATGTGAAAATATATTACATTATTTATGAAATTATTGAACAATATAAAAAAAATTTAATATACATTTTAGATATAAGATATTTACCAAACCAATAAGATATGGACTTCCTGCATCTCCAAAGGCATGTGCAATGAGTATTTGAAATGCTTCAGCTGTAGATCTTCTTGTTGGTATTACTACATACTATATTAAAAAAATATATATAATTTAATTTATAAATTATAATTATAATTAATATGTTAAAAGAATATAATTAAAAATATGTTAATTTAATTTAGAAATATATAAAATTGAAAATAAATATCATACCAATAATATATCTGCTACAATAGACCAATTTAAATTTAATGATAATTGTCCAAAGAATATTAATATATAACATAATATAGAATTTGTATTGGCAGTTAAAGATGCAAAGAACAATAATGGAACACTAATTAGAAGTCCCATAGCACATATTAGGGGATCAGCTTGCTGCCAGTGTACTCTTAATTTTTGAGCTAAAAATGAACCAAGTGGAACTCCTATTAAACCAGCTACCATTCCTATTAATCCAAATTTATATGCTACACTGAAATAATTACAAATAGAAGTTATAATTATAATTAGAAATTATTTCTGAAAATATAATCACTTATTTTAAATATATAAAAAATAAAATAAAAACATACTCATCTGGATCAACATTGTGTCCATTAGGATGTAATGTAAATCCCAATTGTAAAAATGTTGGTGCCCACCAAGCTAATGCTCCCGCAACAAAAGCCACACATGTGAAACCAGCAGAAGAAAGCATAAAACTTCGACTAAAACATATATATATAAGCAATGTAAACAACTATAAATATATAAATAGTTACTTTAATATTTACTTTTTTAATAATGCCTTGATATCATTTGACCATGCAGTATTTGATAAGTGAACTCCACCTTCTCTTTCTCCTCTAATAGGATCTCTTACTATTGCAAGCAATAAAATAATTGCTAATAAACCAAATATAGGGGTAATACGTAAACCCCATTGCCATGCACCAGTAGTTCTTGCTGCTTCACCACCTATTATATATCCTAAGCCACTAAAAGATAAATTATATGTAAATTTATATATTAAATTTAAAATTATATTTCTTTTCCTTTTTATTTTTGTTTATTATTTAACAATTAGCATATTATAATATTAATATCAATAAGATTTAAATTTACCTTCCAACAGGTATTGCAAAATAAAATAATGCAAGCATTTTAGAACGCACATCTTTTACAAATAAATCACTAATTATTGTTGGTGCAATTGTGGAATAACTAGCCTCTCCTATACCAACAAGAGCCCTGAATAAGAGAAACCATCCAAATGACTGAAAAAAATTTTATTTTACATATTATAAAAAATTATTTTATTAATTATTTTATCTTTAATTTTTATTTATGAACTTTTATCTACTTTCATGTATGAGCCAACAAATGTTGTCAAACACCATAAAAACACACCACTACTCATTATAACTTTTCTATTATAACGATCTCCCAAATATCCAAATAATGGTGCAAACACCATATAACTTAAAATAAATGCAGTTTGAAGTAATCCAGATTTATCATTAGTGATTTTAAAATCATTTTTTATTTCTGTCAATACTCCTACAACATTATACATAAATTTTTATTGATTTTATTCAATATATAACTTTACTGTATAATAACTTTATCACACTGAAATAAAATAATACACACCAGCGACTGTAAAACGGTCCATATAGTTTAATAAATTAACGAAACACAACACTCCGACTGTAAACCAGTCGGTTCTGTTAATCATTCTCATTTCCGAAAACATTACGTTTTTTATTCGTCTCTCTCTAGATGTATTTTGAGCATTTTCAGCATTTACCATATGATATTCATACGTCGATACATTTGGAATTGATCCTTCATCGACCATGACTTAACAAATTTGTATTCGTGCCAATTATTATTTACATTGACACGAATATGTTCTTTTTATAAAAATATTTTAACCTTCTTGTATCGTGGCATGACTTTAAGCAGATTCCAATTTACGATATAAAAAAAATTTCTTATATTGAAGTAACATTATTCACATAACGATACATTTTCACAATTTACTTATAAAACTGGTACACAATTTACAAAGTATATGTTTAAATTATATTCTACATCTATTTAAGTCATATGACAACGTCACATCGAAAGATTCATGCTTGCGTCATTTACATGCAATGTCGACAACTATGAAAATTTAATATTTTAATATTTATTATTATTTTACGATATTATATATGCTTGAAATCTTATTGAATATATTGCAAAAGATATTGTTTTAGTATTAGTATTCTTATTTAATATTATAGTGTTATTTCAAAAACAGTTTACATTTTTGTCCAGAAACATATGTATAGGAATTTTATTTTTTAAACTAGTCAAAAAGAAAAATTATTTTTATAAATATTGAATAATAATTGAATTGCTTTTATTTTATGATTGTATATGTGTTATTTAATGTATCTTTTATATATTAAAAAAATTATTATGTAAAAAATGTATTCAATATGTTTACTAATCTGTAACTTCTTTTATGCAGCAATGTATGTATATAAATTTATGTACACTGCATATCTATATAATATATATACAATTATTTTGTACGAAGTGTCATTGTAATTTCAATCAAAAAAAAAAAAAATACAATATATATAAAAAATAATATATATATGTATATAATTAAATATATAAATATAATTGTAAAATAAACTATTATTCAAGATATTTTTAGTAATTTATACATAGCATACTAAAATATAAAGTATAAAAATAAAATATAAATTCTATTATAAATAGAATATTATAATTACATAAATGAATAATAAAAGCAACAATAACAAATATTTTTCTTCAAATCAAGAACATAGCCTTTATTTTAAAAGATACTTTTCTAACTCTTTTTTTGCTTTTAAAATACAATTATCATATACAAGTATACAATGCTATAATTATCATGAAACACATTTATTAATTATCCACTTCTTACGAGCGTATTTATTATGAAGGAACATATTTTCTTTAAATGTGATTCATTGATTGCAGTTGTTTAATTATTTACGTAAAACAAGCCATTTCAATCGCACATCTTATTAAATATCATTTATCCATGTTACAAGTGATTCTCAATTATATTAAGATAACTTAATGATCACGAATATCTTAAAAATTATTTAAGTAATATTATGTAACAATGTAAAAGGTGTAAATGGTGAAAAACAATAATGCAGAAGAATTCATAATAACATATATTCTATATAACACAATACTTACATAGGTATATCTATGTATATATTTTTGAATTGGTATATATGTAAACATATATATATATATGTATAATAATGATATATTATTACATATATAATATATATGTAATAATTAATAAAATATAATGTTTAATAATATTAATCGTATATGACTATAATATATTATTATCTTGCTCCTCATCATCGTCATCGTCGTCGTCGCCGATTAATCAGCTACTTTCTACCGTTTATATTGATTTTTATATATAATAACAATGATCTCAAAAGGCTTATACAATATTCGGCTAGCATATGGATAGCTTGAGATTTTTATTTGTCATTAAATATTTATATTTTTATAGCACATGATAAATTCATTTCTTAAAACTTACAATGTCTTATTCTTTTTTTTTTTTTTTATTTATCTGTGCTTATTCCTATGTTGCAAATATATTTTTATTCTTATCACTGCATTATGTTTGATACAATATAAATACAGGTTTAAATACAGCTTTCTCTCTTATATTGAAGCGCACTTTTAACGCACTATATATATAAATATATATATATATATATATTGATTTTTATGATTTCATTTTGCGAAATATTTTTGTCCATATTTTTGAAGATTAATTACTTCACTGTTATTAGTATTATAGTACAGTTCTTGCAACAAATTAATTATTTAATGTTTAATAACTAAAATTTTTTTTTAATATTTGCATAATTGTATCAAATAATTTTTTCCTTATATATCATAAATTTAAATAATATGAGATACGCAATCAGTGCGATCAATTATTGAGAATTTATTTTATTAATTTAATCAAAGTATCAAATACGACATTATAAAATTGATTAAATACATATTTTTAATACTTTAGGAATGATTGAAAAAATTGAACTTTATGATACTATTTCAACATGTTTCGTGATTTGATATACCCTGTTACAAAATTGCAAGTTCGAAATATCAATAAAAACAAAGATAACGAATAGAAGCAAATGAGCGAATGAATAAAAGAAACAAAACAATAATAATTAAAAAGTTTAATTAAATTCGAAATAATAAAATATTAGATTAATATACGATATAATAAATCGAAATAAATTACGATCATTGTTTAAATGTTTAATTATTTTTTTTTATCTATCTCTACATTATGTCATTATTACTTAAAGCATATCTTTAATAAATATATGCTTAAATCTGTAAAACAACCTTCATTATACGTAAGTCCCCGAATGAATCATTGTTGAATTACCAGACGTAATGACGACGTTAACGATGAAGTCACTATGTGAATTCACTTTCTATGCTTGTGATTGCCTCGACAACCACACAATTCTCGATAGTTGTGTGAAAATAACAAAAAAATGTCTTTCGTTTAGCATTTTTCAGCACGCAGAATTGTTCCATGATTTAGGGTTAGGCCCGTTACTGCAAAAAGAAATTGCATTATCGAAACGGACGCGTTCATGTGTTTCAGTATGTCTAATTTGTCGAAAGAGCATATTATCGACATAGACATGGTACAATTTGTAATTTAGCCCGGGTAACAAAAACGATTCGTCGAATAATGAATACCGTAGGTGTTCCAGCAGCATGAAAGGCCATATCGCATGATGCGACGCCAATGCTTCTACTATTTGTCCCTTCTTCTTTGTGCTGGATTTCGTTGACACGCATCGAAAAGAGGGCGCGTATAAAAACACAGGATACCTATTGCTATTAGTGTATTGCGAATATAGATTTCGACTCTTGAGTTTTTCGATTGGTCGACTTATAGTGTTGATAATTCATTATCGTCATGAATATCTATATTGATATTTCGTCGTTCGAATCATTTATGAATTATCTTTGTTTCTTTTTTCCTCAAATTGGACGATTATATATTGAGAAAATTTCTTAAAAATGGTTTCACATTAAATATTTGTACAATAGTATTGGTAGCGGTATTCAAAAAACATCGTATGATGAACATGTATGTATGTATATATGTATGTATGTATGTATGTATATGTGTATGTATGTATATCTTTATATGTATTTATGTAGAAGTACATAAGCATAGAAATCATTTTGACAATGTACTTTTTATATCGTTATCTACGATCCGCTCAGCTTGATCACATCGAGTATGTCGAATCAAATCGAGTTATGAGCATTCAGTATCGGATCGATGTTTTTTTTTTTTTTTTGGTAATATTTACCATAGAAATGCATCTCGATTATATTAACGAACAAAAATTCGTTTCGAGTGTAATATATTTGTGTGTATACACCCGATTTTGGATACCCGATAATCCGATCCTGATATGCTTTATTATCTAAACTCGCGTGTGCAACATTAGGACCAAAAAAAGTCCCGTGGGCATACGCGAAGATAAAACAGTCTTTGTGTAAAAAGAGTCTTCGTATATGCGTATGGCGCGCGTCGATGTTACATATCTTAATATTTATTACCTAATAAAACAAACGAAACTCGCCGCCGTCTATTATGTAATTAGTAATGCATCGGCAACTAATTAATTTGAATATTTTCCTTGGAATGAACCAAGTTTTTTTGGTCTTCAACGCGCGAAGAATGTGGACAAAAGATTCTCAAATAAAACTTTTTAAAATACATATATGTATTTCGAAACGGTGTATACATAAGATAGTACATCAGAAATAACATTTTCTTTATCATTAAAAATACGAAAAAAATGAAAAAAGTTATTTATGAATAGAAATGATAATTTAAATAATAATATAGTATTTCTTGAAAAAAATTTTTTTGAATTTTTATTTTTATACGTTTTCGTATTTGCAACGAAAAAGCAAATAATTAAAATTTATATAATAATTACGTCATTTCTGACAAATTATCTTATATACATTACTAGTGCTACCAGCGACAGCATCATATTCTCGTATTATATCATTGATTATGTGATATATACCGAGAAAAAGATTTAACCTATACCAATGATTATATATTTTTTTCTGAAGTAATCCATATTACACTGCAGATTCTTACTTTATAATACGTCTAATAATATCCGAAATTTCGTTGCATTTTCTATATTTTTTCTTCAAATAGAACGATATTGCTAATGATTATAATGATTGCAACTACTTTATCGATATTATACTACGAATCTATAAAATTGTTTACAGTTAATAGGAAGATGGTGTTCAAAATTTATAATTACTAACACATTTCTACATTTGTATGTATGTTCACATAAATATGTGATATTATGAGACATTCGATGGAATATTAAATACAGTCGTAGAGAGTAATTAAGAGCACAAACCGCCATTTTCAGCAAGCACAAACCAATGAAACTTCAATGGGCTGTCATTGATTGATTAGGGGCACTGTACTCTTTGATATTGACCTGTTTAAATCCGTTAATATAATTTGTGCTCGTAGAAAATTCATCGAAGCTTCTTTTATATCCAAACCATTTTCATACTTCATTTTTTCTTTCTCTTTTATTATTTTTTATATATATATAGTACTTAATGTACGATAAAATGATATTAAATATTGAATCTAATATATATAATAATAGCAATGATATTATTAAAAAAAAAACATTAATTTTCAATAAATTTAAATGAAAAAATGAAAAATTTATGAAATTTAAAAAAATTTTTGAGAAGGATTTTATAAGATTTAATATTTTTTTTTTCATTTTAGTATACTTTTTAATAATATATTTTAACATCGCAGATATCATTCATATCTAGAATATAAAATGATTGCCGAAAAGATTTGTTTAAAAATTCGATGGATTTTTAAATTTGGAATAGTGTTTACACAATGGTTTAAAAATTTTTTTTTTTTTGAATGGGTGATTATACGAAGCTGCGATTATGTCTCATTATGGCACGAGTATTAAATTATACAATGAAAAAATTCTTCTTATATTATAAATTTCTTCTTTTTTTATAATTCTGATAAATTAGATATATAAATATATATATTATATTTTTTGAGCAAGGAAATAAATATTATGCAGTATACATGTGAAAGACCTTAATCAGTCGAAGTAAAAATTAACGATAAACTCTAATTGTTAAAGTATCTACATTACTATCACAATGAAATATTAAATGTAATAATACAGCTAGAAGATTTAAATATATCATCTCTTTTATTATTCATAAAAAAAAAGCAAATCTACTTAATAAATAAAATAATCTAAAAAATAAAAAATAAAATTTATCAACATCCTATATATTGAAAAATACATATATCAATTATTATTAAATTCTAATAGCACAGTTAATTATTTAATACAATTACATATTATTTTCTTTTCTTAATTTAATACTAAAATTATTATTTTATAATATTTAATTATATTAAATACAAAATAGTAAAAAAAAAACTGAATTAAAAGTTTTGAACGATAAACAAACAATCTAATTAATTTTATGTATATATATTTTATAATATTTTTATTCATATATTCGATGTATAAATTTATATGCATTCTGATTGATATATTTTAACAATATATTTAACACAATAACTTCATTATCTGTCAACGAACAAACGAAGAAAGAAAAAAGTTAAGACGTGCGGACGAAATGAATTAATAAATTGAATAAAATTTTTATTAGATAGATTTATTATATTAGCATAAAAAATCCGATGATAAAATTATCATTTCAATATTTATGTAAGATATTCTAATTAATGTAAGATATTCTAAGTTCTTGTTCCGTATGATGCGTTTCTTATCGTTCGAATTGTTCAGGTGTCGTATAATGTGACATAATCACAGCAATATTTATGATACTATTTTTTTTCAGCAATATTTATGATACTATTTATGATACTATTTTTATCTATGATACTTTTTTTTTAATTCTCAATAAATAGTAGCTTCTGCAGCGATATACGGATGTAGATTTTACAAGAGTCGCTGGTTGCACACTGTGCCAGCCCTCTTCCGAATATGTTTCCAGTAGTTCGATAATTCATCACACATATTGATGCACGGAGTATTGCGTAAATACTAACAAGTTCCTTATAACGCATTGATAAGGATCTCACATATCTTTTCTTATTTCAATTTCATTTTTTATTTTATCATTTAACTATTATTGTTAGTGATGCTACTTAATAGCTTTCTTTTTTTTTTTTTTTTTTTTTTTTTAGAAATGATGATAATGACGATGACGATGGTAATAATAATAATTAATAAAAATTAATAATTAATAATGGTAATAATATAATTATAATATAATTATAATATAATATAATAATATATAATATAATATAATAATATAATATAATATACTATTAATAATATGTCTTTGCTTTGTGCGATCGACCAAGTGCAACGTGGCCTAAAAGGCGATCAACGGCAAAAGGATTCCGCTTTAATTGATTCGACATCAATTTATAAATATACGCTTCGCCTTCTATCCGCATCGCTCGCATCGGCCGGCGACGATTTTATAAACAGGTACATGCAATGAATTTCGTCGCTTTTACGAAGATTTCGCCGCTTGACCCGATGTGCGTGAATGTATTTATGTATATTCTTGTGTGTGTGTGTGTGTGTGTGTGTGTGTGTGTGTAACGGCGCCCCGGTCGACCGCACGATCAAAAATTGCATTTCATTAAATCGATATGAGATCGTTTTGGTATGATAATCCCGGCCATTTAATCTATCCGCGACATTATTTTTCCCTTCCGAATCTCGGCGATCATGCTGGGACAGAGGCCCATGGATTGATTATCCGGGGCGATCGTTGTCTCTGTCATTCAATATAGGATTTTGATCGCCCCTAATTGGCTCGCTTGTCGAATCGATCGAATGTTCGGTTAATACGCGCGCGGACTATGCTCGGCTATCGCGGCCAACAGTGTTGCCAACGGAGCCGGGATTCTTTTTTACGGGTCATCTCAGCTGTCGTTGCGCGAGATTCAATGATACATCGATTCATGGGACAAATTACGAATGTCGCAGGAAGAAAAAATTCAACGTTACGATTCGATCACAATTGATCAACGACCAATCGAATAATAACGTATCACGTATGGCAACACTGTGGACGCGAAAACGACTTTTCTTTTTTTTTTTTTTTTTTTTTTTAAATTATTCATATTGTCGTTGGAGGGTAGTCGGCAGAAAATTATCGGATCCAGGTTCGTTCCCTGGCGTTTGAACGTTGTCAGGCGATCTATTAAATGCGATTATATATAGTATTTTACAATAATAACGAGCGAGTCCTCGACTCGATGCAACGAATTCGACTAAGTAATATTGACGTTTACTTCACAAGAAGATACGTATGTATATATAGTTTCAGTGCCTATCGGTTGGCCATTTTGATCGAAGCGAAAAGGACAACCATCGCGAATGACGATGACGAAGATACGTATCCGTGATATAGATGAGGTTATCCAGTATTTTGATCAGGAATACATTTACTTCAATCAAAATGGTCCACCGTATCGTTTCCGTATGAAATAAACCTGAGGTATCTTTAAGTCTGTAAAGCTTCCGTTACGAATCTTTTAAGTTCTCGATCTCTTTCCGTTCTCATCGCGTTTCTTTCGCATTAAATGTCCATCTTTTTTCTTTTTTAAAAACTTCTCTTTGTTTACTCTTCGTTATTTTTTCTTTTGTTTTTTTTTTATTGTTTTTTTTTTGTGTTTTTTTTTTCGTTTTTTTTTCTTCAAATTTTTAATTTTAAAATAAAGTACCAGAGAATATTTGGCATTTCAAATGGCACAATCGTTAACCTTGTACTGATTTTCCATATAGTGCCTGTATTTAATACCCGCCAAAATTCTCTTTTGATTTCTACACTCTTCTTCGCAAGAAAGGATTCAGAGTCGGTTTATTCGAACTCGTTCCCTGTTGAAAGGCATAACGGTAAAATCAAGTTTTTCTTTCTGATGCAGTTCATCGTTTCAAACAATATTTCTTTCATCTTCCTATAGATAAACGAAAAATTAAAAATTTTATCTGACGCATGCCGAATAATACTACTCGGTTATATTAAAATCAATTTATCAAAATTTCTAAAAATTTTAAAAGATTCTTCGTAATTATACGGATACATATTTTGAGTAATATAAATAAAATGGAAATAATCCTATAAGAATACAAATTATTCTCATTTCACTCTAAAAAAAAGTCGTTATCGTTAAATTCGAGTAAGAATTTAAATATTAACAAGACGTTAATATAATATATAGGGTGGATATAAAAAAGGAATACTTAATCGTTTCTTTTACTTAATATATATATATAAAAAAAAATACTAAATATTATAATTTCATATATATAAAATAAATCACAAATATTAATTACAAAATTATTATTATTATTATTTTAATATCAATAATATTTAAAAATATTACTAACAAATTAAAAACTTTTGACGTTTAACTTCTCCTTATTAAGTAAATATTATTTTTAATTTTCATTGATTTAGATATTTTCAAATATTTTCAAATATTTTCAACGATCAAAATTTTTTTAACGCTCAAGCGTTCCATTTTTCTAAACCACCCCTTATACAAACATGAGGCATCCATCAATCTGTCATATTCCTTTCACACGTAGCATTATTCGGCGTTCTATTGTGATTTTCCGGAAAAGTTTGCGATTATAGCCGTGAAAAACATTATCCTTTGACAAATTTTGATTTAAAAGAAGGAACCTATTTGGACGGCAATTACTTTCTATCCTATGCAATTCTCGCGGCTTAATTCGCGCGAAGCATGCTCTCATCTAGCGACCTTCATTTCCTACTTTTCCTTTTCACTTTTTTAAAAATCTCTTCTCTTTTCTACGAATCCGTATAATTTTCTTACAAAATTTCCTGACCATTTAAAATCGTAACGATCATGATTATTTCTTTCTTTCTTTTTTTTTTTTTTTTTTTTTTTTNTTTTTTTTTTTTTTTTTTTTTTTTTTCTCTCTCCTTAGGATTAGCAGGCTTTATACCTACCATGTTCTTACACGTTCGATCGAGCACAGTGACATCGGATAATACTTGCATTTTTTTGATGCGTCCACGAAACTCTATTCTCTGAATATTCGCTGGGATTTGTAGTATACTATTCTACCGTTTTCCGTTGTCAGCTAAACCGATCGAAGAGACAAAAGGAAATACAAATTACTTTCTAAGTACGTAGAAAACGTATTAAAAAAAAAAAAAAAAAAAAAAAAAAAAGAAAGAAAAAGAAAAAGAAAAAAAATATTTCCGTAAATTCTATATAATCTTCGTGATGTAACATAATTATAAATTTATTAAGCGATTTGTTTTTCGGGAAGGGAATCTTTGCATTTCACAGATCGATTGAAATTCGATAAACGTCTTTGGTTCGGAAATACCTATTTATTATATGATTATATATATGTATATATATATATGCGCGTGTCGTGAAAAACGTAATACCACCATGGTAATGATACATATATTCATATTGGTCTGATTCTTTTTTTTTTTTTTCTCCCGCTCGAATTTCACGCGGTTCTGAGCACAAAAAAAGAACTCCGTAATTGACTCTTCTCCTCCCTTTTCTTTCTTTCTTTTTTTTTTTTTTTTTTTTTTTTTTTGTTTTTTTTCCCCCTATTTTGTCAGCCGACAAATCTCTTAATCTCAAGTAATATTATAACGGTATATACTATAAGCATATATATATATGCATATATGATTAGAACATTAATATACATATAACTATCATATATATATGCATAGATATATATATTAAATATTAATACACGATTTGAAATTGTTAAATTATGCGGGAAAACGAAGATAAAAAGAATTGGCGCGATTATTAAATTGTACTAGAAAAACTGAGCATCGATCAACATTGATGGAAATAGATCTCCTCTCGTAGATATGAAACAAAAGAGAGAGGGAGAGAAAAAAACGAATTAACTATATCTATAGTCTTTGAAATACCCTTTGAATTTCTCGTTTCGAGTTTCGGCGCTTTTTATAAACAAGAAATGAGATATGCGTAATGCTTGTCTCGTTGATAAAAAAAAAAAAAAAACGAATGTAATAACGATCATAATAATAATAATAATATCAATAATTACGAATAATTATCGATAAAGTATTTTTTTAATTATCGTTTATATTTGCTGCGATAGCAGCGAAATCTATGGTCACGTTTCGAAGCGATCCTTTGTAAAATGAACGATCAAAATTTTTTTCCTTTTTCTCTATACATATTTTCCTTTTCTATTTTTCTTATTTTGCTATCGTTCTTTTCGACTATACGAAATAAAAAAACAATTTAACTTTACGCGAGTTGTGCGGACGATCGAAAGCGAGATGGAGCACGTTTGACGATATCAGTTTAACCTCTAAAGTGCAAAAGTACAATCATTCTAACATCATTCAATACGGATTTCGACTTTGTGTTAAAATTTATTTTTCCATCTTATGAGACTCGACAATTTTATTTCAAAGAATTGTAAATCAATAAATTTCATTTTGATCTAAAATTAACACTCCTTGAGAATGATCAATAAAGTGAATTCCGACACCGTAAAGGTTAAGTTAGAAACATCTCGTAGACGAATATAGAAGTTGCTCCACGTCCAGAATTTCTGCCCCATGAAATTTTATGCTTTTTCTTTTTTCCATTTTTTTCTATACACACGTATATTATACATGCATTTATATATATATGTAATATAACCAGAATAAGCAAGATCTTGGAAAGAGAATCTTGTCGCTAGAGTACAATCGATCGATCGATTCAACTGCGAAGCCTATCTCTAACGAAATTTCGTGCACGCAGCATTATTTTGTCTCTTATTTTTCCCTTCAGTCGGCGAACGCGGTCTTAGGTCGTCGAGAAGAGGCTAGCAAGCAGCCTGAGCTCGACACACACGAAGATAGCTTATATGGTGTGTGTATGTGTGTGTATTTCTTCGTACACGAAGCTCGAAACGATATTAATCGCTTATCTTCGTTTTTTTATACTTTTTTTTGTCTTTTTTTTTTCGTATAATTTTTTATTCGTTTCATTGAATTATTTTTTAATCTGGCAGTATAATAATTGGTGTATAAAATTTTGTTTTCAACACGTTTCTTTTTCTTTTTTTTTCTTTTTTTTTTTTTTATAATTCTTTGTTTTTTATCCCCATAAATCTTTATCTTTACCGACACATCGTTTTTATTTTTCGACGGTTTTCATCGGTCCATCGTCATCCCCATAAAATTCCTGCCTAATTATAATGTAGACTCGCGGCGAATTCGTCTAATTAATTCGATAAAATTTTGAGAAAAAATATCACAATTGCCTTTAAATTTATGGCGAATTTTCGTTCTAGACTTGCCTGCGTCCTTCCAGGAAGAACAATCGGTCAAACCGAATATTCGATTCGTCTTCTCGGTCTTCCGTTCGTCCATAACGCGGATCATGCGCGTATCCCACGTTAAATTACGTATGAAGAATTATACTATAATGATCCCGTATACGTGATATTCGTAAACGAATATTTAATTTTTTTAACTGAAATCCAGAAATATTCGCGTTCTAAATCGTATTAACAAATTGATACGCAACGATCGACTTTTTCGATATCTAAAAATCAAATTTTTCATTTAGAAAGAAAAAAAAAACCTCTATCCAAATCTTAATCTTTTTTCAACTAAATACATATCGATTTCATTCATTTGATATTGAATTAAATTCCAAAAAGTAAAACAATATTTGTCCAATCAATACCTATAAAATTAAAAATGTTAAATTCAAAGTATTATTTTTATGATATTTCTGGAAATCAGCGAGCACATTCGTCCACGAATGCACGTATGAAGCCTATTGTGAGGCAGACGGACGAATAATTGGTCGAACAATCGACCGGCCATGATGTGGGACACGCACACGTGATACACGGACCCACTAGGTCTCTCTTTTTTCTGCGGAGATCGCGTGACGACATCCCTCGAGAAGGCAAGGCAAGAGAGCCAGGCGAGAAAATCGAGCCAAAGTGCTCTCATCGGATGAAGGAAGACCTATTGCAATGACCTAAGAGTCGGTTCGGGAACTAGCACATGTTTTCAGAAACGCGCGTACTTCTACTCGTAATTTTTTCGAAGTCGCGTGCCTCTTTTTTTAATCTATCTACCGAGCCAGGAAAAAAAGTTCCTTTTTTTTCATTTTTTTTTTTTTTTTTTATTAATTTTTCTTTTAAAATTTTCTTCTTGTTACTGGCGAATCAGAAGCAAGGCTGTGTTCCGCGCCCTCTTGCGTTTGATCAGAGAATGGGAGTGAGAGAAAAGATAGATAGAGAGATAACATAGAGAAAAAGTCGAAAAAGAGAGTCAGAGAGGGCGCGACAGTCTAAGGACGCCTCGTTCCGTACCGCCAATTATTCGCTATCTACTAGTCAAAACCCTTTATTACGGCTAAAAAGACCCTGACGGAGTTTGCCAAGTGCCAGACGAGAGCGATAAGAAATCGTTCGACGATCGGTCAACGATCTTCTGTTTTATTTATTTTTTTTTTCTATTTTCTTTTCCTTTAGAACGTATATACTTGATTCTCATCTTACACGCTTCTATCGACAACGCAACATCGTTTGTATTTGAACGAAGTCGAACACAACAATTTTCCTTTAACAATCTATTTATTCTTTTCTTGCCACGTACGAAAAACGTGATCGGCCCTTCTAACCGTCCGCCATCCGTCATGGGATTGACGTATCTCTCTAGGTCCGTGTTTCTCTCATCGTCAACCTCGTTTCCCACGAAGAAAGATAATCGAGGGGAACACCGAGTAAACACGACTATATTTTACAAGAAGAATAAGAGACGAAGATAGAGAAAGATGAAGAAGATGTTTCGGTGATCTGACACATCTCGCCCAACTCCTCACACCACAGAGATCGTTTATATCGTTCCTCGATACTTCTTTGTGATGCTTCTTTATCGAGATCTGTTTATGGATCAGGTCGAACGGTTTCGCAAAAATGGTGGACGATATCGTAGAGTATGTCTTCGCTAATCCGTGACCACGTGATACAACGCGAATCGAATACGTGTGATTCGCGCGTGTATCGTGCGAGTATTGTCGCCATCGCCGCGGCAACAACAACGTCACGATTGTTGGTGATAATGACGATGACGACGACGACTTGTAACTTTGACTGTTACGACTGAACTGACTGACTATGTGTTTGACTGTGTGGATATTGGCAATTGTTTGCTGGCAGTTGGCGAGAAGTTTAATGTAGCATTGGCAAACTCTGGGGTCGACTCGGCGACGATCTCCGCCCGCGGACATACGAACGGAGCGGCCGCTTGGCCTAGTCGCCGAAACGACTGCAGGCCTTCTTCCATTTGCACTGTGTGCACCATAGGTCGCGATGCTCCATACCGTAGACCTTGCGGCATTTCTTCGTCTCGCCGCGAATCCGTCGGGGCGACGATGGCATCTTTCCCGTCGACACCGTCAGCAGGCCCATGTTCTGTTGGTACGCCTGGAATGGCCTGGGTGACAACTTTATATGCTTGATCGGTGTACCCTGTTTACGAAAACAGAGGTTGTATAAAATTATTATATTTTGAGGTTACGAGATCATTTTCTTAATTCAATCAAGAATAAAATGAATTTTCAATTTCTTTTAAAAGTTATATATAAAAATTAAATCATACACCATACCAGTAATGTATGCATGTATCAACGTACCGGTGATTGCGAAGTGGCGAATGTGGTTCGTTCTCTGATGCTCACCATCATGTTTTCTGCATTATTAGTAGCAGAAGTGGTTTCCAAACGGAGCTGTTTCTGATACTCCGGATCCTCGTGCGGAGGTCTGGCCATGTCCCTATGTGACATCGTTGGTGGAGAACTCATATGATCGACAGCCACCTCCTGATAGTAGAATTCTTCCTCATGATCGGAAATGTCATCGTCCTCTTCGTTATCGTAACTGTTAGTCTTTTTAGGTCTGAAAAAACGTGCGTGATCCTCGTTAAACGTGTCTATCTGAATGCACGCAAAACGTGTGGGCAATCTATTCGACCGTGAACGAACTCTATTCCATGTACACGATGTCCGGTATAGTTAGTGGAATTTATCTTATCGCACGGTTCAAGGTTAACGCTTGAACGTCAAAGAATTTGAAGAATAATGTAGAGATGAATATTACGACATTTCAAGAAATGATATACAAGAAAATTCGTATATAAACGCGTAGAAGATTAAATTTGGGATGGATTAATGTATTTTTCAATTAATTTCAGTGAATTTGTTATTTTTCATAAAAAAAGTATTATTTTATTTATATAAAAAATCTAATTAATTAGTTATAATAAAAATGTCAAAACTATGCTCTTTGCGTACCTTATAATATTAAGTACTCAAATTAAATTGATACTGAAATTGAGAATTAATTCCCGTGCAACGAGTTCGTGCAACAGATGCGATAAAATATCGGATTTTCATGAGACTTGTTGCGTCTTACTATATATTTAAGACTTACCCCAAGTGTGATTGGCGCACGTGCTCTTCGATAAGCGGCACGGTCGCCTTGATTTCTAAACAACCTGGCCAAGTACATTTAAATACTACTGCTGCATTAGCCTAAAATCAGAATAAATCTTGTGTTATTGACTAAATACATAATATATTATATAATTTGAATTTATCTTACATAAATACTAATGGATAATATTTATACAAAATATACAAAATTTTATATCATGCAACTTTATATATTATATGAATTAATAATTTTGTTTCACAGAAAAACATTATTTACAACATTTTTCAAATATTATTTTCACTGAATCGTTATTTTTATATCTCTAATCACGATTATAGACTCCAACTCTATATAATTTATAACTCTATATTTGTATATACTTATTGCACTAATGTATAACCTATAAATCGTAGATTTTCTTGGTATCGTAATTTATTTTTCATAAAGTGTTCCGATTGTTTTGAAGACATGGCGACTGTATTTTCAAACATTATCAGAGTGCCGAAAATATCTCATGAAGGATTTTAGACGTCCTTTAACGATATCTCACGGTCCGTCGACAAGCATTGTAGCGTGAATCGTACGTAACTATATCGCGGAAAGCCCCATGGTACAAGGGGAAAATCGATGCGCAGCAGCCGTCGCATACGTTGTGCGCAGCCACGTTTCTTTGTTTATATCGGCCGGCACAGTGATGCCGGCACGATCACGTGCTATTGATCCGAGAACGATACTTCTCCGTCGGGCCACGCGGTCGTGTTACGATCGTGCTTTTAACGTTTCAATATGGTCTGTCCTTCAAATATGAAATACTTATTATTATGCTTTTAGAAAGAATCGAATTATAAAATTAATAATGAAAGAATGCTGACACATGAAGAATTATATATGCGGTGAGAAAAGGATTTTGGATTAAGTTAAAAAGAAATTGAAGATGAAGAAATTTATTTAGAGCTATTCTGCAACTTGTTGTGGATTTAATATTTATATTTGGTGAACAAAATTTAGGATTTTTTGGTAACTCGTTAAAAAAAATTTGACAAAAATATCATTGTTCAATGAAAATTGCAGTAGTTAATAACTGTGATGAATTATCGATGACCAAATAAAACGTGTTAAGAAAAAAAAGTTAAGAATTTATAAATTTCTAATATGAAAGGTATATCGTATATTTAAATGAGATGAGCGATCTGAATTTTATATTTAAAAATACAAGTGCTTTAAAAATATTCTATAAATATAATAATTAAATAATTTATAGGTACTATAAACAACTAATTTTAAAAAAATGTTTAATAAATATAAAATTTCAAATCATTTTCTTTTTTGACTTAAAATTTTATAATAATTATTCTGTAACATATAACTATTCTATACTATACACTCGTCATCTTCATATTCCATACATACATATCTTTTTATTTAAATTCAATAGGCACTCTAATTCTAACTTATTTTATACAGAAATAACAGGAACTCTAACTTGTTCAATAAATAATAAAGAAGATAATGATAGAAGACAATCTAAAGCTACGTTTTGCTGAATATATCGATTCCTATACCATTTGATAAAGTACGATATAGAAGATACGTTAGAAATACCAGATTGAAACAATATCATTGTTCAAAAGACAAATTATTTATTGAAACTTAAAAATTTATTAAAATTTCATTGATAAGTTTTTTAAATTTTCTAATTTAAGAATGAAATAAAACAAATAACTTTTTGAAATTACGATCAAAAGATTTATTGTTAAGATAAGATTATATCCTAATTAATAAAAAGTAACGAAGTATAAAATTTATCTTACATAATTGCAACTTCAGAAGTTAACGAAATATTTGACTTTTATAATAAGAGATCTATGAGAACAATCTGTTTTAAAGGGAAAGAGTTTGATGTTGGTTAAAAATTTCGACGCAATATCTGACAATATACTTCTTTCGAAAGAACATTCGAATCACGAAAGGTTAAAAGCGAAGGACACTGTAAGAGGAGACACTTTTGAAGAACATGGTGGTCAAAACGAGTTTTTCGCTGTCAGGTCACTGCTGCTGATCCATAAATTTCAAATCTAAATTGTAAAATAGGAAGAAAAATTTTAGAAAGTAGTATTTTATTTTTCTTTCGACAAGAATTTAAAAGTTAATATTATTTAAAAATTTTTAAATTCTAAATTTTTTAAGTTCAGATATTTCAGAATTAATAAATTATACTATCTTATAATTTTATTTTTTAATTATTTGTTTCTAAGCTTTAAGAATTTTAAAGTTTTTGAGAAAAAGAAAGTTTTTATAGTTGTAAAGTTACAAAGTCAGAAAAATTGTTTTAAAATTCTAAAATTATAATGTTCTAGAGTTATAGAATTTTTTTTTAGAATTCTTAAATTTTAAAAGTTTTGTAGAAATTGACATCATTACAAATATTTATATTCAGAGACTCGATGAAGTGACTCGAGATGTGAATCTTTCCTATCCATCAAATGAATCAAATAGAAAACATTGTACAGATATCTGTTGGATTTTTAAACTTCCGCAAAACAGGAAAAGAATCGGTCAGAAAGCTGTTCTCGCTACTTCAAGGACCTTTCTGATCGTGACATCACCTCTGAAACGGTACACGCGGCCAGGCGTATATACAGGCGTACATAAGCATTGCCGAGGTCACAGACCTTCTATGCCGGTTGGCAAGCAATGCTCTCCCTTTGCTTTGCTTTGCTTTGCTTTGCTTTGCTTTGCTTTGCTTTGCCTTGCTTTGCCTTGCCTTGCTTCCTATCGAAAAAGTCAGAGCCGATCCTTTCCCCTCTTACCCGCGTTGACTTTCAGTTTGTTAATAATTGTGGATAAAGATTGCTTATGTTGGTATACGTGTATCATCAGAAATTTAAATCAATGAATAGGATGAAAACAGATTTTCTAAAATATCCTTTGATTGCATAATCATATGACCAGTTTCGTTTCTACAAAAAAAGAAATATTCGAATATGAAGTATACGGCAGTACATATGCGCTAGTAATATATGTTTTATATACATATATATATATATATACGAAGTTCTATTAACAGGTTGTATGCGACGCGATGCACAATACGAGCGATGTAATTGGTCACAGTCCGTCCCATTGGCGAGATCTTCTAAAAGGAGCAATGAGAATGGAAGAAAGAGAGATGTCAAATCTTCACAGACGAAGAGAGGATGATTTTCTTCAGTGCGGTTGTATCGTTGCGCAGTCTTCAGTTGGCAGGGATGAGTAAGCGAGTCGACAGGGTTGCCGAGTGCGCTAGAGTCGTCCGTGGGTGCATCGCGCGCGTGATACGATGTTGCCGGTAGTATAGATAGGCAAGATGGGGATGCACGCGGCTGGTCTGATGGGACCATGCCGGGCCGGAGCCATCTACCCTAGACTGTAGACTCGTTTACGTGACGATCTTCTCTCCTTCCCTTCGTTCCCTTTATCATGTACATGTACACGCACACGCACACGCACGCTCTCTGAAATCTATCTAGTAATGTCACGCGTGCATGCTGGCGTTGATATCATGGCGCACTGTGCCTCAAATTGCTTATAATTAGACCGTGCATGCGATCATATATATAGCACGAATGAACGTACTCTGCGAATGAAAATTCCAAGCAAGGTCTCTTCTCGCAGGCTAACCATGTGTTTGTTTCACTTCCATCATGAGAATATTTGATGTGTATATTATAGAATGGCATATATGTAGAACAACATCGTAGCAGCGAATCGACATTCTCTACGTTCGAGGTGAACGTAACAAGCGAGACATGGGATACGAAAATCGATCCCAAACTACTTGCAACTTGCTTTCTACATAGCTCTCGCTTTCTCGTCACACTCTCCATGTTTGCTGTCTTGAAAACAATATATTTCCTTTCAATTCTTTTAGATGTTCGATCTTTAGTATTGTATTTTGTCTTTGGTATTGCTTCTTTCTCATTTTTTTTTATTAAAACATATATGTTTAGAATTTGTATTTTTTATCGAGATAATATTTGATTCATTTTTTAATGTCAAATTTATATAAAATGCATCGTATTATAATTTCTCTTTTTTTCATTTTTTTTCATCTTATGATATTATTTAACATTGTGTATTCCCATTGACATCACGCTAATTCGATGTCAATTCCCATTTTCGGATCGCGTCGTCACTGTGCACGCCAATACTTTCCACGAGTATCGGACGTATCGTGCGCGCGACAAAAGAAAGAAAGAGATGAATATATATGGTCGAAGTAAGAAAGATAGAAAGAAAGAGAGTGGAGTCAGTATGAAGAAGTGGGGAGGCAAGGGTAATGCCCGGGAAACCAAAACAAACCAGGCTTCTGTGTGTTAGCGCGTCGATCCGTGGCGTGTGGTGAGGGTCGGACGTTGACCCTTCTTAACACACGAATGCTTTACGCACGAACATGGAGTATACAGGGTGACGAGAGAAAAATCTATGGGTTTGTTATGGGGTATCTTGTAACTGAAGGTAAATTCCGCTAGTCCGAGTGCATTAAGATTAATAAGTTTTAAATTAAGTGCAACAGAATTATGATAAAGCTCACTGTCATTTGAAAATTCTGAAAGCGATGAGATGATGCATCAAAGTTACAATGCCTCAATAATTTTTTTTACATTTGCGTTTTTTTTTTTCATTTTTTAAAATGATAAAAATAAGTTATTGAAAAAACTTGTGCTTTCTATATTCGATTTTGTATGTTTAAATATTGTTGTATTGAGTGACATGTATACGCACGTGTCAAAGCATACTATTGTTTACTTTAAAGCATGTCAGAAGCAATACTGGAGATAATAGATGCATACAAAGAGCAAGAAGTTAGTCTAAAGTGTCATTGTTCGACGTTGGCAATGCGTAGAAATTCGAGCGGTAAAAAATGCATGGGGCATAGAAACGCGCTGGAACAGCAGATTCGGCGCAATTTCCAAGCAAGAACTGAGGTCGACGACACAGAAAACAGAGAAAGAAAATCGTTTCGAGCACGCGAGAGGCAGGGAGGGCGGAGAGCATTGAACATCCGTGAGTCACGATGTATCAGGATATTCAACTGTTTACAATTTATAATTGGTCA